ACAAAAAGCCACTCGTGTTGAGTCCTACCAGCATGGCAAGAACTTTGGGTTTTATTTTGAGTGTGCTGGGGAGTCGCTGTGGATTCTCAGCAGAGCAGTGATGGGATGTGATTTACCCCAACTGTGGAGTATAGCCCGGCCTGTAAGGAACAGAGAGACTGGAATGGAGGGTTCTGGAGGGATGAGGAGCCAGCCAATGGGGGCTGCACTAGGCTGGGAGCAGTACAAGTGGGAGACGGTGCACGGGTATTTGAAGTCCTTCTCGATGGACTGAACGAAGGCACAGAGAAGTCCTCAGTGACTCCTGGGTTGTGGCTTGAGCAACTATACGGACGTCCATGCTGTTGACAAGAGGCTGGACAAACTGGAAGAGGGGCAGCTTTCCCTGAGAAATGAAGAGTTCCAGTCCAGCTGTGGTAAATTTGAGCTGCATACTGGTCACTTTGCAATTCCGTATGTTACCTACAAAGAATGTCCCACATTCGTTCAGTGTTACACTCCCACCAGCAATGTTTGAGGAGGGTTTCAATTTCTCCACATCCTCACCAACACTTGTTATTTCTGTATTATCTTTTTTATCTTAGCCATCCTAGTGTGAAGGAAGTGATATCTCGCTGTGGCCTTGATTCACATTTTCCTAATCTCATGATGCGGAATATCTTTTCATCTGTCAGTTTCTGGCCTGCAGGGTTTTGGATCCCTGGGCTGGGATGCCGGGACATGGCTGTATTTAGACCATGCTGCCGACCTTCCCATCAGAGCTAACAGAGGAACATGTTTCATCAGGGTGTGAGCAAACATCGAGGCCCTTTCTGAAAACAGATGTGGTTTTTGCCTGACAACCTAGCAAAAGAAATTAATGTTAAAGTTTTAAAATTATTTCACAAACTGAACGAGTAAAGAGAAAAAAAATGGCATGAATAAGACATAAGAGAAGCTCCATTAGAAGAAAATTATATTATTTAAATATTTGCTTGGAGGATATTTATTTGCAGTGAAACCCCGACTTCTTTCACCCCACTACGCTAGGCAGGCCAATGCCACTGCCCTGGACATCCAGTGATCCTGTAATACACACAGATCAATGGTACTTTCTCAGGACCAGAATTTAAACTTCCTTCAGAAAGATCTCAGGCCAACCATCTCACACAGAGGATGTTTCCAGACTGCTGGGAGGTTAATTTGGAATCTTCAGTTGCTCAGTCAGAAGATTTTCGGTGTTTCCAGTCTGCAGTTTGCAGATTAGAGGGCTGTCTGGCGGCCTGGAACAGGGGTACATCACTAAGATCTCTAAGCCTAAACTTGATTGGAAACAAATTTGATTTTGTAGTGCAAACCAAGGGTTCCCTAAAACATCCAGCTGACTCTGATCCTACCCAGGATTCCCACCTTAGTTATTTGGGAAATCTGATTCCAAACTTGAACATCTCTCTCTTCTCTGACACACATTCTCTCATCCTATGAGTAAGAATCACAGTGAATTAGTCTGCTTTTTAGAGCTCACAGTAGTAGAAATCTCGGACCAAGGCAGATCAAACAAACAGGCAAGTCTGCAGTCATTTACACGATACTCTACTCTCCGAGGGACTTCTGTCAGACCCTGGTCATTAGAACAGCTTTGCCCCTCTGGAAAGCAGCTAGCTGGACAGACGGTGCAAGGAGGAGAAAGAAGGGCTGGTGGCCAGCAGCTGAGGGAGGCACTTGTATATTTTATAAAGGCCTGGGCTTTACCACGTTGTAGACATGTGTTTTCGGGCAAATTACAGTAAAACCTTGATTTGCGAGCATAATTCGTTCTGGAAACATGCCTGTAATCCAAACTTGTTCGTCAAACCGAATTTCAAGAACCATTGGCTCAGCTGGGGTCATGTGATGCCATCACATACTACTCATATTTCAAGACATCACTCATTTATCAAGTTAAAATTTGTTAGAAATATTTGCTCACGGTGCAGAACACTCACAGAACAAATCACTCTCAATCCAAGGTTCTACTGGACTTTCTTTGAACCTCCATCTCTTCCTCTGAAAACCTGAACTAAGTTTACTTATTTTGCTCGTTTACTTCCCAGGGCTGTTTGAGGCACAGTGACCACACCGCTGCAGGCTAAGAAGTGATACATGAAGGACGCTATTGTTATATTGTCTCTTTCTCCAAGGTTCAGTGGGAACCTTCTTTCCTTTCAAACTCCCTCCTGGATCCCAAACCCAAACCCCAGAAATAATTCCAGACATTCAGATTCAACAGAAGTTTCCTTAGCTGAAACAAATCCAGTTTCTGACGAACAAAATATTGAAGAGATAAATGGATTTGGTCATTTGACAAACACTTTTTGGTGCCTATTGTGTTCCAGAGACTGTTCTAGGTACCAAAGAAGCAGCTATGAGCAAACCAGACAAAACTCCACACCCTCATGGAGCTTCCAGCGAGAAAGGAGAGAGAAAGGAGAAAGATTCTAAACAAATAAATTGTTAAGACACATCAGAGGTGAAGCGGGAGATGAGTAGGGGTACTCCTAAGGTGTCCAATTCACAGTTCCAAAGGCTGAATTTTGGGGGGTGAATTAGCTTTCTAAGGCTCATTTCTGGTTTTTCTGTTTTTGTTTTTTAATTAATTTATTTATATTCAAGTTAGTTAACGTACCGTGTAGTATTGGTTTCAGGAGTGATTCATCACTTACATATAACACCCAGTACTCATCCCAACAAGCGCCCTCCTTTATGCCCAGCCCCCATTTAGCCCATCCCCCCCACCCAACATCCCTCCAGCAACCCTCAGTTTGTTCCCTGTATTTAAGAGTCTCTTACGGCTTGCCTCCCTCTCTGTTTTTATCTTATTTTTCCGGGGCTCATTTCTTTTTTTTTTTTTTTTTTTTTTAGTTTAAAAAAATTTTTTTTCAACGTTTATTTATTTTTGGGACAGAGAGAGACAGAGCATGAACGGGGGAGGAGCAGAGAGAGAGGGAGACACACAGAATCGGAAACAGGCTCCAGGCTCTGAGCCATCAGCCCAGAGCCCGATGCGGGGCTCGAACTCACGGACCGCGAGATCGTGACCTGGTTGAAGTCGGACGCTGAACGAGTGCGCCACCCAGGCGCCCCTCCGGGGCTCATTTCTAAAGAGGTATCTATCACCTTCCTTCCAGTTCAGCCGTCGCTCTGGTCCCAAGCACCAGCAGCCAGGCCCAGCAGGGAAAGCCAGGCAGCGGTGGTGAGGGAGGGCAATGCCAAGCCTGGCGGAGGCAAGGTGACCGCACGCCGTCCAGCCCCAGGAATTGGATCACCTTGGGAAAGATTCTCCACCTTGGCTCTGTCTCAAAAGCCCTGTGCTACGCTTCCTTAAATAGCACTTGACAGAGACCAGCTCCATCCACTTCAAAGCCCTCTCTGTTTGCATTGCACGAATAACACATTCCTGTCGAAACTCATCCAGACTAACAGCTGCTAATTTCCTAGCAACGCTGCCCTAACAGTTCTGGCACGGCATGGAACTCATGCTGGCATAGCACTGGAAGTTTATATTTCCGAAAAAAAAAAAAAATCTTTCAAAATCCTTTTCTCTGTTTCTGCCCGGCTACTCAATCTCCACTCCCAGGGACCATCTTTGACCAAGCTCAGTAGGTAGGCCCCTTCCGTCAGCAACTGGAAAGCCCTGTGTGATAGCGGTATTGCAAGCACTCTGCATAAATAATAGTACAGCTTGCATTACACTGAGCCACGTCAGGCTATTTCTTGACTTTATGGACTCATTAGTTTTCTGCCTCATGACAACTTTAGTAGGAAGCCTGGACAAGTCCATACAGGATTTAGAATCACATAATTTCAGGTAAAGGAAGGCAAGGAGGTCATGTCTTGTGCTCCAGTACCACGTGCCTGGTGTAGGCTCCACATAACGCTGGTCTGTGAAGGAGTTACAGGCGGCTGGGTGGGAAGGAAGTGAGGGGTGGTTGACCGCTAATGTCTGCCATGGATGAGACAGAGTACAGGGGCCTGCCTCTTGGGTATTTGCCACGTCTGACCTACTGCCAACTTCTCATTTTACAACTGAGGGAACCGATGCTCAGAGAACTGAGGTGACTCCATCAAGATCATACCGACAGTGGGAAGCAGAGCCAGACCTAGAATCCAAGTGTCTGGATTTCCACCTGAGGATCACTTTCAACATTTACTCTTCTTTGCTCTCATTCATAAAGTCTATAAAGGGCTGACTTCATAAGGCAAGGAAGGACCGAGGACCCGGCTGGCTCTGTGTAATGCCTGACACATGGCTCACGGTGATCCGTTGCCTCAGTGGTCCCAGCCTGGTTCCCACTCCGTCTGCTCCCTCCCTGCAGTTCTGCACTCCTCAAGCTATTGTGGACCTGGCAAGAAGAATGAGGGGCCCTCCCCATGCAGAAATCTACAGTGATTCACAGGGGCCTGGGCTCCTGACCCAGAGCATGATGTTATTTCCTCCTGCCTGTAGCCATGTTGCCCTCAGAACTCGTTTTTTTTTTAATTTTTTAAATCTTTATTTTTGAAAGAGAGAGAAAGCAAGTGCGAGCGGAGGAGGAACAGAGGGAGAGGGAGACACAGAATCAGAAGTGGGCTCCAGGCTCTGAGTCGTCAGCACAGAGCCCGATGCAGGGCTCAAACTCACCAACCGCAAGTTCATGACCTGAGCCCAAGTCAGAGGCTCAACCGACTGAGGCACCCAGGCGCCCCGCCCTCATAATTCTTATCATCCCAGTTTGGATGGGCTCAAACTTGTGACAGTATGCACAGAACTCCTTGCATTTTTTTTCTCAGAGTGATGCTAACACACACCACAGTTACTTCTTTTAAAACTTAGCCTACATGTTTAAGAATAACTGATGTATTTGATGAGGAAATACATTCACGTGTAGATGTTAGCAGAAAGGGAGAGAGGACCAGAAAGGCTCTTCTGTTTTTGTTTTAATTTATCATGAGATATCTTTCTTTTAAAAATAAAATAAGCTGTGGTTCAACCGATCACGTACCTTTTCCTTTGGCCCAGCACCTCTCTTTCCAATCTCCATGCCTGTCGTCACCTCCTCCTGAAACACTCTGCTCTTGCCAGGAAAACGCTCTTCTCCCCTTCAGTGTCTGCAGTCCTCCTTTGCGTTGGGGTAAGAAAAGAAAATTTGTTTAATTCAACAAACTTATTGAGTAACTACAAGATGTCAGGCATGTGCTTGGCACTCAAGATTTAGACATAAATGCAATGGGGCCCTGCCCTTGGGAAATTTAACTGAAACTTACAATGAGCCAGAGAAAAACCATGCTGAGCCTTGTGCCCCTTAAGCATCACCCTAAATCTGCTCTTTTGTGGTCATGCACTGTGTCGCTTTTGTTCTCCGCTTTGTCCCCAGCACCGATCACAGTGCCTGGCACATGGTGCTAGGAAAGACTGGTGACTCACTCAATCACTGATTCCTTACAATCACCCTACAAAGCAGGCAACATTTTTCTCCTCTTACAGATGAAGAACTGAAGTGGACAGGAGCTAAGGAGCCTCTCCCAAGGTCTCCTGATAGTGATGACTCCGTGACTTCTCTCTAAACCCTTTGCTTTTTCTCCTATATAGCACATCATACTGAGTCTTCTCATCTGTAAATTTGGAGGAGCAGACTGGATGATCTCATGGTATTTCATAGCTAATGCCAAAGTTGGTACTCGAATGCATACCTGGTTTCTCTAGGAGGCTTCTTATGTGTTTTATGTTACCATGCATTTTTCCTGCCCTCATAATACTATTGGCTCTTTGAGTTTAACCTTTCACTTTGTAACCTATTTGTAGCACCCCCAGAGCCGTATTCTATGCTCAAGGACTTCTTATTTTTTAAAGTTCATGGCTACGTGAACCTGCCTTATCTGGACTAAATAAATCACATACTTTACTTCCCGACATCAAGATTTTCTTTCCCAGTTTTCTCTCAAGGACAGCAGCCAGCTTTTGGTGCTTTGTGGCAGGCCTCAAAGAATCCCATGCCTTAAGATGGACAAAATATTTCTTGGATATGATAACTCTTGATTTTGAAGGGAAAAAAACAGACTTTAAAATTTTGTGGGATCATAAAAAGAAACAACTGTATTTCTATACACTAACAATGAAAAATCAAAAATGAAATTAAGATTTTCATTTTCCATAGTATCAAAAAGAATAAAATACTTAGAAACAAATTTAACAACAGAAGTGCAATACTGGCACGCTGAAAATTAAAACACGTTGTTGAGAAAACTGAAGACCTAAATACATAGGGAGATATCCCATGTCTGTAGACTGAATGACTTAACACTGTTAAGATGGCCACATTCCCTAAACTGATTCACAGATCACCCACAATCCCTATCAAAAAGCTGACTTTTTTTTTTTTTACAGAAATTGACAAACTAATACTAAAATGTACATATAAATGCAAGAGACCCAGAATAGCCAAAACAATCTTACAAAGAACAAAGTTAGACTTATACTCCCTGATTACAAAATTTCAGGAGTACCTGGGTGGCTTAGTCAGTTAAATGTCTGACTTTGGATTAGGTCATGATCTCACAGTTTGTGAGTTCAAGTCCTGTATCAGGCTCTGTGTTGACAGCCTGGAGCCTACTTTAGATTTTGTGTCTCCCTCTCTCTCTGTCCCTCCCCTGCTCGTCCTCTCTCTCTCTCTTGCTCTCTTTCTCTCTCTCTCCCTCCCTCCCTCTTTCTCAAAAATAAATAAAACATTAAAAAATTTTTTGAAAAAAATTTCAAAGTATAGGAATCAAGATATTGTAACACTAGAATAAAGATATATAGATCAGTAGAGTAGAATTGAGAATGTAGAAAGAAATTCTTATATTTGTGGTCAACTAATTTCGACAAGGGTGCTAAGACAATTCTATAGTTCTTTGCTTTGTAACAAATAGTTCTGGGACAAATGGATATCACCATGCAAAAGAATGATGTTGGACTCCTAGCTCACCTCATGTATCAAAATTAATTCAAAATGGACCAAAGACCTAAACATAAGAACTAACGCTATAAAACTCTTAGAAGAAAATAGAGGTATAAATTGTCATGACCTTGAATTGGGCAACAATTTCTTACATGTGATACCAAAAGCACAAGCAGCCAAAGGCAAAAAATATACAGGTTGGATTTCATCAAAATTGAAAACTTCTGTGCTTCAAATGACACCATGAAGAAACTAAAAAGAAAAGCCACAGCATGGGAGAAAATATTAGCAAATTATATATCTGATACGGGTCCAGTATCCAGAATATATAAAGAGTACTTAACAACTCAAGAATAAAAAGACAAAAAACACATTCACTATACTTTTCTGAGTTGTCCTACATGCAAGTCCAGGCTTTTAATGTTGTCTGTCTTCTATGCTGTTCCTGTAAGATTTCTATGAAAATACATTAAACTATAAAAAAGGCAAAACAAACACAACTTTAAAATGGTAAAGGATTTGAATAGCCATTTCTCATAATAAGATGAACAAATGCTTAATAAGCATGTGAAAAGATATTCAACATCATTAAGCATTAGGGAAATATAAGTCAAAACGATAATAAGATGTCACTCTGTACAGCCTAGGATGGCTATAAAAGAAAAAGACAGCTAATAACAAGAATAGTGAGGATGACGAGGAATTGGAACCCTCCTTCACTGCTGGTAGGTATGTAAAATAGTGCTCAAAAAGTTCAACACGGAGCTACCACATGACCCAGCATTTCTACTCCTAGGGGTGTGGGTATACATACACACATGAAAACATTTAAATGTGCAAAACCTTGTACATGAACGTTCATAGCAGTATTAGTCATAATAGCCAGGAGGTGGGAAGAACCCAATATTCATCAAGTAAGGAATGGATAAACGAAGGATGCATATACATGCAATGGAATACTATTCGGCAATCAAAAGGAATGAAGCACTGATTCATGTTACAACAATCGATGACCCTTGAGCATGTTATGCCAAGTGAAAGAATCCATCCACAAAGACCACACATTACACGATTCCATTTATATGACATATCCAGAATAGGCAAATCTACAGAAGCAGACAATAGGACAGTGCTTGCCAGGGGCTGGAAGGAGCAACAATGGGGTGACTGAGAATAGGCACTGGTTTTTTTTTTGGGGGGGGGGGTTGGTAATGAAAATATTCCGGAATTGAAAAGTTGTAATAGTTGTACAACTCTGAAAGTGGCGAATACTCTGATCTATAAATTATACATCAATAAAGCTGTTTAAAATAATGCTTGTGGGAAATTCAATAGGAAAATGAGACAGGCCAACCAAAAATCCCATTCTTAGCACCTGGGAGGCTCCCCACCACTGCTGTGGCAACAGTCACACCCATAGAGCTCTGAACGTATGGATTTTCAAAGGCTGTCTTACCCACTTAGCTGGTGATTCTTCAACCTCTCTATAATATCCTTACCAGGTGATTACCTAGCTTATACTTGACTAGGCTGTCTTCCCCACTCTCCAAGCTTTTATTGAATGTCTACTATGCACTCAGCTCTGGGATAAGCATTGAGAATAGATTTTGCGTTGTTGTCTCTTCAAAGGAACAAACGTTTATTTGAATATTTGTAATGTGTCAAGCATTTTACCAGTTCCTATTCATTTTTGTTTATTTGTACCTCTTTTAGTTGGAGTTCTCCCAGAAACAGATCCTGAGACAAAGACTCAAGCGGAAATAGTTTTTTTGGCCAGTGCGGCTAATACTTGCAGGGGAGTGAGAAAGGGAGCCAGGGAAGGAAAGGAAGCCAAGAAATCAGCTACCATAGTGAGCTACTAAAGCTTCCACCTAAAGGGAAACTCTGGGGAAAGGTATAAAGCTGTCTGGAAAATGTATTCCACCCAAGGGCCAGGTTGCTGGAATGTTTGTAAGGCTGATTCCAGAGTCCAGTTGAGCATATGCAGGGCATATGTTAATTTCTCAGCACCTCTGGCTGCCTAAAGGAAGCACAAATTACGCATCCTTCCCCAGATCTGAACTGGGAGATGGGTGAAAGAGCCCGCTGGCACAAATGCAGATTTGGGCAACTGGTAGTTAAGAGAGAGAGAGAGAGAGAGCGCGCAAGAGTGCAAGTTGGGGAGGGGCAGAGAGGGAATCTCAAATAGGCTCCATGGACCAGATATGGTCCCACAACAGTGAGATCATGACTTGAGCCAAAATCAAGAGTGGGACCCTTAACTGACTGAGCCACCCAGGGGCCCCATAGAGTGTGTGACCCTTGATCTCGAGGTTGAAAGGGTTGGGTTACGTTGGATGTACAGATTACTCAAAAATAATAAAATCTTTTAAAAAGATAGGATTAGAGGCAAAGTCTTGGAGCATAGGGTTATGACAGCTTCTGTGGCAGGCAGCATGGCTCTCCTGGGGCCACAGCTTGGGCCTGGGACACGCTGACAAGGGGGAGAATCCCAGCCTTGAGGTTTCCTAAAGGACTCTGCTAGAACTCTGTCCTGGAAGTGGGTCTTGCCCTGCCTCACTGCCAGGTTGGGCAGCGCTCTCACCGACACCACAAGGGAAGTGACAGCAAGTCTGACCTCCTCTGGCCCCCTCTCCCAGCCCCTGCTTCTCCTTGGCTCATTCTGCCATTGTGGCTGCTGTCACAATCTCTGCCGAGGGAGTCCTTCGGATGCTGCGCTTGGGGGTGGCAGGGGTTGTAAGCAGGATGCTTTCTGCTACCCTTGCCTATAGAATCACTAAAATCTCAGGAATTATCCACCACTTCCCCTCTCCAGGGCCACCTAATAATGACGCAGGGCCACCGGGAGCCTCCAATATGCATGCACTGCCCCCCCTCCCTGGCTTGTCACAGGTGGGCAGGCAGTGTTACGAGGTTTCCATGCCTGACCAAAGAAACGGAGTCTCAAATTCAAGTCAGTAAAAGGGCTGGAATCAGCAACCAGGTCTTTGGACTTAATCCAGAGGTCTTTCTGGGGTAGGAAACGTCCTGTTTTTTCACCCCTCAAATAACTGTGACAAAATCATGATGCAAGGCTAGGGCTCCACATCCAAACGAAAGAAACCACTCCTACCAATTTGGAAACGTGACTGCATTTGGCTTCGATCTGTAAGGCCTTGCTATTCAAACATTCAGAAATACAG